GGAAAGAGGAACTTGACAGAATGACAAAACATCTTGTTTTGAGGGTCAATAAGAATGATTCCTCCTCCAGCTCGATGTTGAGTTAAGGAACCATCAACATACAACGTCCATGATCGATCTTCATTGATTGTCTCGATTGCAGGAGTAAACTCGGCAACAAAATCAGACAAAGCTTGAGCCTTTATTGCGGTTCTCGGTTTGTAATGAATATCATATTGACCGAGTTCTATGGCCCATTTGATTAGTCTTCCCGATATGTCAGGTCGGTGTAAAATCGACTTCAAGGGATAAGAAGTAAGTACCATTATTGAATGTTCTTGGAAATAAGGACGTAACTTTCGAGCAGCGACAACGAGGGCATATGCTTACTTTTCCATCGCCGGATATCGCAATTCGGCTTCGTGTAAGGCTTTGCTAATATAGTAAATTGGATATTGTTGACGTCCTTCTTCACGAATAAGAACAGCACTGATTGCAGAATCACTTACTCCCAGATATAGATATAACATTTCTTCAGGAATCGGTTTCTGCAAAGTTGGAATTTGAAGGAGTGCTTCCTTTATTTGTTCCAAAGCTTTCTGACATTTCTTAGTTCATTCAAAGCATTTTTCTTTCTTTATAGACTCAAAAAAGGGTTTGCATCGATCTGTTGACTTCGATAAAAACCGATTTAAGGCAGCAAGTCGGCCGGTAAGAGCTTGTACTCCTTTTACCGACGTGGGAGGCGCAAGATCCATTATAGCCTTTATCTTCATAGGATTGGCTTCAATACCGCGTTGAGTAACTATATATCCCAAGAATTTACCAGAACTGACTCCAAAAGTGCATTTCTTCGGGTTAAGCACCATAGAATATTCTCTCAGAATGTTGAACATTTCTTGTAGATGATCAATGTGATCGGCTGCATGAACCGACTTGACTAACATATCGTCCACATAAACTTCCATGGTATGTCCGATGAGTTTGGCAAACATTTTATTAACCAGCCTTTGATATGTGGCCCCAGCGTTTTTAAGACCGAACGGCATCATAGTATAACAATATAATCCTCGGGCTAAATAGAAAGATGTATGTTCTGCCTCTTCAGGGTCCATAGGAATTTGGTTATAACCCGAATATGCGTCCATAAAACTCATCAATTCATGTCCAGCTGTGGCATCCACCATGTAATCGATATGTGGTAAAGGGTAACTGTCTTTGGGACAAGCTTTATTTAAGTCGGTAAAATCAATACAGAGTCGCCATGCACCGGAACTCTTTTTTACCAGAACAGGATTTGACACCCAAGTCGGGTATTTCGTCTCTTGAATGAACTTGTTATCAACCAATTTTTGAACTTCTTCTTCTAGAGCTTTCTGTCGATCAGGACCGAGTTTGCGTCGTTTTTGGACCACCGGTTTAATTGTTGGATCCAAATTGAGTCGATGAGAAGCGACCTTTGGATCAATGCCTTTCATATCTTCGTGTTTCCAGGCAAATACATCGGAATTGGCTTTGAGGAATTGAATGAGCCGAGTCCGTATTGGCTCTTGAAGATTACTCCCGATTTGCACCGACTTGTGGCAGACAGGATCGTCGATGAATATTACTTCAACCTCTTCTGATGGTTCAGCTCGTTCAAGTTTGCTTTTATCCTTGAATTGAATTCGAGGATCAAGTGCATCTTCTTCTTTAATTGGCTCTTTTCCAGGACGTCTTCCACGATCACAAATCAGATCGTTATTCAATTTCACTGGGTCAAGTTCCATCTCGGTATTGTATGATTCCGAGTTGATAAGTGTTGAATCTTCTTGGCTTTCTTCAGTATTCTCCATCATATGTACGGGCATACATGGTTCATGCCAAGGTTTGATCCAAACCATTCCACGAGCTTCGTATTGATCTCCGTAATGAGTTCCTTCTCCATTATTGGTAGGAAATTTCAGAGCATAATGAAATATTGAGACGGCTGCACGAAGCTTATATAAAGCAGTCCTTCCAATGATGGCATTATATTGATTTTTAAGATCCATGACCTTGAATGTTTCCATAATGACTTTGGATGCTTGTCCAGGGATTCCGAAACGAATTGGCATAGTAATTTCTCCAAGAGTTGATGTTATTGTTCCATTAAAGCCTTGTACTTGATCCTTACAGGGTTTTAACTCGGCTGGATCGATTCCCATTTGTTCGAACGTTCGTAACATCATGATACTTGAATATGCTCCCGTATCCACCAACATGCGATGTATCGGTATACCGCAGATGGGCGCCGTAATTATCAAGGGATCAGCATGAGGGTGAGCAAAGTAACTAGCATCGTCAACATTAAATGTTATTGGACAATTGTTTCGAGCATTAATTTTATCTCGGAGGTCGGTCGTTAAAACAGTTTTGCCCGAGTTAAAAGCTTTTCGAGCATACGCTTTCATTTGCCTTCGTGATTCAAACGTTGCATTGCTGCTATTATTGACCCGAGTAATGTGATGAGAATTATCAGGATTATAGTATCCTCCTCGTTGGGGCATCGAATCATTTTCTTCTTGGTTCATCATGTATATTTCTTTATCACTCGGCCTTATCCGTTTTGGATTAATCGGATGTCCCTCATCATCTTCATCGTCTGGCAAATCAGGCATTCTTCCTTTTCGTTTGTAATCAACGTTCTTGACAAATCTTTGGACTTGAGGATGTCCAATAAGTCGTAACAAGGCAGAAAGTAAACCAAGGCATTCATCAGTATTATGACCTGCCGACTTATGGTATGAACAATATCTCGTTTTATCAAGTTTTTCTTCGGGAGTTCTAACAGGTCGTGGGTCAGGAAGGATCCCTTTCCCTTTTAATTCTTCAAATATAGTTGCTGCTCCCGCCGAGAATACCGTTTGGTAGCTAGATTTGACTTCATTAAGGTATTTAGTTCTAGCTTCTTGCACTTCAGGGATCTTTGGATTCCCAAATCGAGACTTATTTGGTTTGAAGAATTTATTTTTCTTCTTTTTCGACTCTTGCCCGACTTCCGACTTCAGCGAAGAAAAGTCGATATTAGGAACCGACATTGATTCTTCAGCTAAAATATGCTGTTGAGCCCGAGCTAAAAAGTCTTGAAATGAAGTCGGTTTATTTTGACATATACTCCATCGGAACAATGAATTTGGCTTCAATCCGGCTATAGCTGTGACCAATAGCGTTTCAGGATGGCATTGCTCCATATTTTGTATGCGTTCGTTGAACCGAGTAATATAATCCTTCACACTTTCATCATCTTTTTGTACAATATTTGCGATCGATTCTTTGGGAATTAAAGAAACTCGGGCCCCGATAAAATGAGAGCGAAAAGCCGTTCTCAATTGCTGCCATGTGGAAATTGAGTACCGAGATAGGGAATGATACCATTTTTGAGCTCGGGGTCCCAAAGTTAAGGAAAACATCCGACATCTGAGTGCTTCATTTGCTCCATGAAGATCCATCCAAGATGTGTACTGACCAAGATGAGCATCAGGATCGGAAGTTCCATCATATAAGCCAATTTGTGGGACTTTTACTTTAATTGGAATAGGCTCTCTAGTCAAGTGAGGGGCTAAAGGAGTTGCAACCTCTTGATACGTTTCTTCTATCATTGGAGTTCGTCGTGGTGGTTCTCCATGTTCGTGTTGGCAAGTCTCCAGCTCAGCAATTCTTTTTCTCAACATTTCTAACTCTTCTGATTCGCGTCTTTGGCGATTTCTTTCAATTAAACGACGCAACTCATTTTGCCCGCGACGAGCATGGTTTTGTTCGAGAGTATGTCGTAAATCAGAGGGTTGATCATGTCGTAATATTTCTGGTAACGACGGAGTAGGTTGTTGCGGTCGATGCCCAGAATGACTTTCTGCAGTTGCTTCTGATCGTACTGCTTCAGGAATATGTGTTCTACTCCACGATTTTGAGTTGCAACATTACGTTGTGATTCATGCGTTCGTGGATGAGAAGTTGCATGTGACGCAGCAGAAATTTCATTTCTTTGCGGAACTGGTGTAGGATGAGTTCGCGAGTTAGCTGCTACGGTTGGTTCTATTCTTGTACGTGCCATAAAGTCAGTTAAATTTTTCAAGAACTCTGGATCTTGAAATAAAACTGAATAATTAATTGACGTAGACGGCACAGCAGAATTCCCAGTTGTGTAAGTGGGATGACGATTGATTCCAGCATCTGGGTTACGTTCGTTTCGCCCAGAATTCGACATCCTTTGGGTACGTTGTATACAAGACAAAACAATTATTAAGAGAAAAAGAGGAGTGCCGCCCTCCTTCTAGCGCCAAACTGTTGTTGTCTTGAATTAACAACTTAAAATTTAAAACAGTCGATGCCAAGAAAATTAGGATATTTATTTAGTTTGATTTTATTCGTTATAATCATAAGAGTACAGAAGTCGGTTTTAGGCTGAAAACCGAGATTGTCTTTTGATTGTGTACAATGTGATCGGAAAGATCCTCGTACTATCATAAATTCTGCTATTTATAGTACGGTGGCTTTTGTCTTCTTGCTCGAAAATAGATAAAGATGCATTTAATGTTGAGCTGCTTCGCTTGAAGCGGCGGGAAACATCAATGATTGCCTTTTTTTTTCGTTGGTCCAATCAGATGTTTCTAATGATTACTTTCTGTTGGAATATTCAAACTTTGTAATAGTCGGTTGACCTGAGATCGGTTTACTTGTGTTGGCTTCAGATGTCGGTTTCGGTTCTTTTGAAGACCTTTCGGAAGTTGGATCTTTTGTAAGTCGGTAATTCTTCAGAGGTCGGTAATTTGTTCCAATACATACCGACTTGTAGTAAGTTTACTTTCTCGCGAATCTACTTCTTCAATGATACGATTAATCTTCATCTTCAATCTCTGTTACTGGATTTGATATCAACATAAGGGTAAGTTAGTAAATATAAATATCAGGTGGGACCCACTCACAAAATCACTCCACTCCATATTTTCTCTTTCCTCAACTTATCTCTCTCCTTCTCCCCTTCACGCACTGAACACACACAGCTCCGGCAGACTGACCGCCACATCGCCGCCGCCTTCCGCCAACAGCCACCCGTTTCACGCCCACCTTCCGGCCACCGGAGCATCGTCGCGCAGCCGCCTCCGCCTGTACCTGCACAACCTCCGCCGCCCATCATCTCGTCGCCAGTTTCTGCCCGTCGCCGCTTTTCAGCCCCCTGTTGCTCTCTTTCTCAACTCGCCGTCGCCATAAAAACCAGTCAGACATGTCGCGCGCCTCCATCAACACCCCGACTCTGGCAACGTCGCGGTGTCGCTTAGCCTGCCTTCACTTCCAGCCATTGTTGTCCGTCGTCCGCTTATGCCGCTTCGGTCAATGTCGCGGCCGTCGGCCGCTTCAATATCGTGAAACTCCCCACCGTCTTGGCCGCTCGCGAGAGAAGTCGCCGGTGAATGTTGGCGGCGAAGTATCAGGCGACGTCGACCGCCAATATCCACTGTGTTTCTGGCAGGATGTAGCAGTTGTCATGTCATTTGTGATGTTTGAGTTTTGGGGTTATGTGTGTGAGAATTTGATATATTCTAGGGGTCTAATTACAATTTATGAACTTTTATTTTATTTCAATTGAGTACAATTAGGCAAATTGATAATATAAATAAAAAATTAATACATATACAATAATACATAAAATGCACTATATTCATTTTTTTTAACATTTCAATAGAAAATCATAGCTTAATATTTTTATAAAAAAATAAAAATAATATTTTAAATATAGTTTAATTTTATTTTAGTTATTAAAATAAAAAAATGACATCGTACCGACAATACTCGATATATAAAAATAATAATAATAATTATAACCGAAAAAACATATAAAATTTCATACGGAATTTATGTTCGTTGGATCTCGTTCGATTTCGTGCAATCCGGTAGATGTTTATGTGCAATTAGTATAACCATGATGTGCACTCGTAATATATATAAAATCATATATAAAAAATGATATTATTTTTTTATTAAAAAAATATAAATAAAAAATAATTGGTAATACTTTTCATATAGTCCGGCATGATCAGTTATTTTATTTAGTTAAAAAGATTAAAATCCTTAACCAACTAATATTATTTGATCGATTAACAGAATTATCGTGTTTTTTGGTATGTGTAGCGTGTTGTTTTATAAGGTGCAACATATTATGTATAAAGTGCAACGTATTGGTATATAAAGTGCAATTATGCAGATATGTTTTTTCAGATTTATATCGCGTAATATTTTTGTGGAGAGCTATTGATATTAGTTGCGGAGTGTATTGATAAAGTGCAACGTGCCGTCTTATAAAGTGCAGTGTCTCGTCTTATAAAGTGCAACGTGTCGTTTTATAAAATGTAACGTGTCGTTTTATAAAGTGCAACGTGTCGTCTTATAAATTGCAACATGTCGTTTATAAAGTGCAACATTCCGCTATACAATGTGCATTAATTTATACATTCACATACAAATTATGTGTATTGGAAAATTATTTAATATAAAATCAAATTAATATAAATCAATAAAATACATTTTTATTAAAAAATATGCCCAAACCTACAACCCATTTTCAGATTTTATCACCACCTCTCCAAATTCACCTTCATCCTCTATCACCTCACCCACCATCGCACAGCCATCTCCGGTCACCGACTTCTGGCTTCCATGGGTGCAGCGACATTTTCGTGCCTCTTGAAGCTTCCCGCCGCCGCGACCTGTGCGAGCTTTGGGACGTCTGACGGCGGGTTCCCGACGGCCGCGACCTATTGCCGGAGTGTGTCGGCGACGACTGCAACGATCGGAGCTTTGTGGTGGAGGCGGATGATGGCAACTAGTCGGAGCTCGTTCACGTCCGGCAGCACGGTTGTGTCCGGTGGAGAAGCGGCGACCCATTGAAGTACGTTGGCGGCAGGAGGCGGTCAACGGTGGAGGAGCTCTCAGACCGGTGGGCGGCTGCAGGCGTCGATGGTGGATGTGCTCATAGGCTGTTTCAGTGTTTTCGGCGAGGATGCCGGCCGGTGACAGCGGCGAAGATCGGCCAGCGAGGGCTGAAACACACCGTGTGCGTGTGTATATACGTGTGTGTGTGTGTGTTAACATTTTGTGTACAGTGTGTGATTAATGTGTACAGTGTGTGTCATTAATGTGTGTACAATGTGTGTCTGGTTGGTGTGTGTGCAGAGTGTGGGTGCGTGTGCTAGGTGTGTGTCTGCGTGTGTTTTGTATGTGTTAGGTGTGTGGGGGTGATGTGGCATGGTGATGTATAATTGTAATGACCAAAATACCCTTAATGAAGGTATAATTTTAACTTTTTCTTAGCTATTAGATCATCCGATCCAATGACTACGATTTATTCCTATTTCTCGCATTAAGAGTCATTCTCACCAGATCCCAACTCACTAATGACTTATAATTTATGATCTAAACTGAAAAACTCCATATTTTTTACTAATTTTATCTCATATTTATTTTTAGTTATATTTCATTTTAATCTAAAACTATTTGATCTCACCTAAAAAGTTTTCTACATTAGGTGCTTCAATTGGGTCACAAAAAATCACACCGACCCGACCTGTTTCGAACTCCAAAATTAACAGGCCCAGCCCACTAAACCCCAAATTTGGGCTCATAAAAAAATGTTTATAAATGAGAAATGGTGCAATTCACGAGGCTTAAATTTCATCACTCATCAGTCATCAGTGCTAAACCCTAACTTTAGTTTCACGCCAGATCTCACTTTCTCTCGCTACTCGCCTCCGTCCAGTTCGCAGCTGTACAATTATGGCGTCCACGACCGAGCCGACGGCCTTGAAGAAAGAGGAAGAAGAGGAGGATGACTCCAAACCAGCAGCTGAAGATGAGGACACCGGGGCCCAGATTGCCCCGATCGTGAAGCTCCATGAAGTCGCCGTTGCCACCGGCGAGGAAAATGAGGATGTCCTGCTTGATTTGTGAGTATTTTGATTCATGTGATGGCTGTAAGATTGAATCAGGGTCTTGACTGTATGTTGATGCGATTGATTTTGATTTATTTGTTTTCTTCGCATCACTAGAACTGGTGCCTTGTAAGCAGTGTGTATTAAATTTGATGTATGTTGTTGATTAGATTTTATTATGTTCATGGGATTTGAGAATTGAATGGATTCAGTTAAGGGTGATCTGATGATTCGTGTTTGAACCTTTTAAAAATTATTATCTTTGCTGGTTAAGTTGAATATGTTATCTTGTAGTAGTTAGAGAACTCAAGATATGTTGTGTAGTTGTGGTTTTTCCTGACCAGTGTTAGTGAATTGTTTATTGTGAGTATTTTGATTCATGTGATGGCTGTAAGCTAGAATCAGGGTTTGACTGTATGTTGATGCGATTGATCTTGGTTAGTTTGTTTTTGCGTATCACTAGAACTGGTGCCTTATAAGCAATACTTGCTGTTCGGAATTTATTATGTTTAGGAGATATGAGAATTGAATGCTGGTGATCTGATGATTCGTGTTGGAACCTTTCAAAATTTATTAACATTGCTGGTTAAGTTGAATATGTTATCTTCTGAAGTAGTTAGAGAACTTAAGATATGTTGTGTAGTTTTGGTTTGTCATGACAAGTGTTCTTAGTGAATTGCTTATTGTTTGTTAATAGGAAAGCGAAGTTGTATAGATTTGACAAGGAAGGTAGTCAATGGAAAGAGAGGGGAGTTGGTACTGTCAAGTTATTAAAGCACAAGAAGACCGGCAAAGTTAGGCTTCTCATGAGGCAGAACAAAACTCTTAAGATCTGCGCCAATCATCTCGGTAAGTATATAGAGCCTACACCAGTGCCAGAGTTGTTGTACTGATTTATAGTATGTACCTCTGGATGTGTGTATATCCGTGTGAGTATCAGCATATTTGTTGTTTATAAAATTGAATTATGTTTGATATCTTGTTAAATTAAGACTGAAAATGGAATTTATAAATGCAGTCCTGCCCACATTGACGCTGCAAGAGCATCAAGGTAATGACAAGTCTTGTGTGTGGCATGCTGCTGATTTTGCTGATGGGGAGCTAAAGCAGGAGACTTTCTGTATCCGTTTTCCATCAGTTGAAAGTAAGTTACTTTTGTAATGTGACTCGGTTTTAATCTCCATTATAATTTGTTTACTTATGGTGAATCCCGATTCTCTTTTTCTTTTCTTTTTTTGTTTCTGTTGCATTGAATTTATAATTGGAATTTGGTCACGAGGTGAAATACTTATGTGAATCATAGTTCAAGCATTCTTATTGTTAACTAATTTCTATATATTAACCTAACTATACTGTTAGCTGAAAGGGTAGAAACATTTGCCACTTTAATAATCTGTTATGCTAATTGCTTCTCTAATAATTTAGCAGCAACATTCCATTTCATAGAGTAAATCAAGCTTGCAATCTGGCTTAATGTTGCTCTTTGTCATTTCCTTTCTTTTCTAGATTGCAAATCTTTCAAAGATAAGATTGAAGAAATTACTGAATCTCAAGCAAAGGACAGTGGAGACAGTGAAGAAGGTACCACTGCTGCTGGTCTTATCGAGAAATTGAGTGTTGGAGGAAATGACAAGGAGGATAAACCAGAGTCCAAGGATGAATCTACGTCTGCAAGTGACAAAAAGGAGGACGAGAAAGAAAAACTCGAGAAGCCGGATGCTAAGGAGTGAGGCCTTTGGTTTATCTTACTCTTCATTATGTTGTCAAAGGGGTTGAAATATGGGTTGTTTCAGTGAGTTCTACATAAAACCTTTTTTTTTGGTGTGTGTTTTGGTTTGTTTACTGGTTGTGTCGGTCGGTCGGTCTTGAGTGGTTTGTATTTGGTGCCTCAAGAGTTTGGGTTACCTTAATATTTATCGTGTTTTTTTCTACTTTGTTGGGTTTTTCGAGCTGTCCAGTGTGTAATCTTAAACGGGTGCATTACCCCAGCATATATTTTGATCTCGATATTCTATGGTCTTCTTTTTTGGCGTTAATTAGGCTTTTTGTTTGGCGAGCGAGCTATAAGCAATATTTTGTTTTGTTTTGTTTTGCTTTCACCATAATTCAAGCGTTCTCTAGTGATATAATTACTTTAGTGGAAGTGGTATTTTGAGAAGCCAGAAATCATGCTTCAACAAAATGTCTCTATTTATGAGTTTGTTGTTTTTGTTGGTGCTGACTTTTATGCCTTGAATTACAGTTGAAGTACATAGTTGAAGATAGGTTTGGTTTTGTGGGAAAAAATTGACCTAGTTGGAGTTGGAGTCTTATGAGTATATAACATAGTTCCTTGTCCGGCAAGGATTCATTTGACTTGTGTCTTGCAATACATCTGGGAATATTTACTTGTGGGAATATTAGTGTAACTTCATCTCTTACCAATAATTCACCTTAATTTTCTCACTGCCCAACTCCCACTTCATTTTTCTTTAGCTGCAATTGCCTTCCATAAACTGTGTTTTCTCTCATTCTCCTTTTCACATAACTTGTACATGTAGGCAAATTGATTTTAAATATTTCTTCAATTCCTAACTTAATGCAAAATACTCGTACACATAGCTGAAGATAAAATTCTTTACTTGGGATTGGAGACCAAAAGGCAAAAAGTCCATAGTCCTCCCCCATAAGAAAGGTACAGTGGTATAACAAGTAATTTTCATCAAATTGGTGCCCACAAAGCGATAGATTGTGTCGAGGGGAAAGCACAACAAAAAAGTAACAAATGGATTGTGCCTAGAGAAAAGCACAACATAAAGTCGTATAAAATGTTAATGCCAATTGACTAATGGATTCAGCTTAGGATCCTATTTTCCCTTTTAATAATCATTTTAAAACAAGAAATGGATAACACCAGTTCATGTCCCCAGATCAAGAGTTTAGAAATTTGTATAAATGGCTTTGTAGATTAAGTCAAAAAAGCTAGAAACACTCGTCTGTGACTTGATTTTTATATGCCTGAGCGGCACGCTTTTTCATAATTTTTAAACAAGTGATTTTTATTTTTCCATGTCAATAAGAGAGAAAGGGAAGGCAACCTGATTGACGAAACGAATCGGNTGGCCCGAACCTCAATGTGGACTCCTATTACCTGCAAAGCACCGGGATTGCTTGTTTCCGGCATAAATCTTCTGACTATCAACTCAGTTAATCCAAAGATATGAATATGATGTATGAACATGACAATTGTAATGTGATGGTCTTTTCTATTGACACATGGCTAGATTTAGTTATTTATTTATCTCTTAGTTACCTTTCTGACTATGGCTCCAAATCAGGTTAATCCCATATTTTTATGGGGATTCAATGATATTTATCTTAATCATAAGATTGCACAACTGTCCTTTACATTCATGAGTAAAATTCAAATGCATGGTCTTCTCTCTTTTCAGACCATTAATTGAAACCAGAGTAGAAGTTTAGAAGAATAAACTACTCAGACACCAATTCTTGCTCAAAACAAAACAAAACAACCCAAAACACAATTCTGTTAGACAAAAGCCTACATTATATATATACACACACTTGAGCAAAAAGGCACCATCTATATATATAATAAGAATTAACATTTATTAAAAATAGTAACAAAAAAATAAATCAATAATTTAATGCAACCTATAAATGGTAAGTTTTATTATTTTTCTTATTTTTTTCTTTAAAAATCATACAACATTAAATGCTACCTTAAATTTTGGGCTTTAGTTTATTTTATTATTTAAAAAATCCGGCTAATATTTATTAAGTGTGTATGTTTTTATTTTTATTTTTTTTTAGAAACAACAAATAATATTAAATTTCGATCTCTATATTTATAAAATCTCAATTCAAAATATAACAAAAGTTTTTGAATGTCAGTCTTTATATTTGTGCCTTAAAAAAAACTGAACGGTAAAAATATTCTTTAAATTGCATAATCAATCAATTAATCTTAATTTTTTGATTAAGTCATCTTTAGATATATAATTTATAATCTTAATATACTATCATTTGGTGTAGACATATATTATATGAATTATAAAATATTTTTATTTCATAAAATTAAATATATTTAAGGAAAAAAAATTTCTTCAGATCAATCGGGTGATTGAATTACATTTAGGTGATATTTAAAATAGTCAAAAAACTTGACACAACTTAGTTATGTATCAGTTCGACCAAACCAAATCGATTATTGAACCTAAATATAAATTTTATATTGAAAATATTTTATTACGTGAATGTGATGTAGTCCAAACTTCAAATAATCGTATTAACAATACTTTTATGACAACATGTTTAATGATTTATGAATATTTATATATCACTTTATTAATATTTATATGAATTAAATAATATTTTATTATAATATTTATTAATGTACAGTAAATATAAGGTTTTCTAAACTGGACCATCATCGAAACGATCAAGCTATTATATTAAATCATTTGTGGTTTGTTCAGATTTTAATTTATAAATATTTTTATATATATGTGTGTATATATATATATATATATATATATTACATTTTGTAATAAATTTAAATAAAATGTGTTACTTAAATATCTAAACAATTTATAAATTCAAATGTTTAAACTAATTGATAAATAATTTATAAATCTCTATTTTATTTAAATATGTAATTTTATTTAAAATAATAAAATTTATTTAGAAAATCGTATCGATCCTATCAGTCCAACCGACTGGTGTTGACCGATTCGAGAGCAAATATTTTATTCAAGCGAACTAGACTGGTTATAAACCGGTTCTCGATCCATCCGGTCGGACTGCGTCCAACCCGATTTAATTTAAAAATAATGGATAAATCATGATTAGTGTTATTTATATATTTAATTTATAATACAATCGTAATATTTTTTTCCGTGCATCGCATGTGCCACGCACTAGTAATGATAATATAAACAAACAAACAACACTAAAGAAAGCCCAGATTCCAAACCATAGTACTCTGTNTTCTTCTTTCTACCAACTTCAGAATCTCAACCCCAAACAAACAACAATAACATCCCATCTACCGGCTCTCTCTGCATCAGCGAGTGCGGCTCGTGCCCCGTCATATGCTCCTCCCCGCCAGCTCCCAAACTGCCGCCCCCTGAAAACCACCAGCCGCCGCCAGAAAACCACCAGCCGCCACCAGAAAACCACCAGCCGCCGCCACAACTGCCATACTACTTCAATTCTCCGGCACCAATGTCGCCGCCTCGTAGGCCGTCTCAGCCTCCGCCGCCGCCATTTAATATTTTTGCCGGCGGCGGCTTGACTGCTCCTCCGCCGCCACCTTCGGTGTACGTTTACAATCCGGCTGCCGGGCAGAGGAATTATACATTTCCTTACTATTATTTTTATACTTCCAAAGCTTCTTGCTGTGTGCCTGTTGATTTCATTCTTTTGGTGGTGGTGGGGTTCATTTTAGTTACAATGTTATGATTATGATGAAATTTTTAGTTAGAGTGAAATTGATTTGTATGTATGTATGTATGTATGTAGGGATTGTTGTTGGTGTATAAGGGATAGAATGAGTTTGAAAATAGTTTCTAATTCATATTTATATAACTTTGGTAAAAAAGGGGACATTGGATGCATTATTAATATCTGAAGAATAGAATTCAGAAAAAAAAAAAAAAAAAATCATCTTTTTGTCCTTTTACTTAACAATTGATTTAACAAAAAAAACAAAGAAACAGATCATTTATGCAGAAAGATTCCAAGTCATAATAAATAATGGGATTTCAAACTGGCCTGGTATACAAATAGAAAAAACCTTACTGAGCAAGAACTTCTCTTTGGAGTTGTTAAACTAAACGAGAGCTCGTAGGTGAGCTCAGCTCATTAAGATTCGAGCTCAAGCTCGTTTAGTTAATAAAGTTCGAAAATAGAACTTTTTATATAATATTTTATAATTCAGCTTATTAATACTGATAAACGAGCCAAATTTCAATTCGATTATCGGCTCGACTCGATAAAGGCTCGAACCCAAGCCGAGCTCAAATATCAGAGTCTAGGGAAAATGTTTGTTCATAAGTGTAATGTTGACAATTAATCTTTGCATTAGTAGAGAGCTAGGCTTTGACCATAATACACAAGAATTTAAGGGTCTACAAACACAATATCACAAACCCCGGGTGACAGACAATAGTTTTAGATGGAACTCCAAAATGGCCCCTCAAAATCTATACAATACTATTTAGACCCCCAAAGAGAATCTGATTTAAAAAATCAGACGAGAAAATCCTCCCACGTACAGATCTCCAGCAAAGATCGATCCGACTCCTAGCTTTCAGAAATGACGGCAATGGCGTCGCCAGCAGCTCCGGCGTACGACGACGAGACGGCGGCGATGTCGAACCTTCTCCCTCTCGCGTCCGCCGCTCAGCAGCCATATGTCTCTGAACTCCTCTCGTTCACTCTCGATCGCCTCCACAAGTTTCGACACACACTCGGATTGTTTGATTACGCTTCTAAGCTTCGTAATTTGAAGATTTTGTGTCTCTTTATTTTTTTGTTCGAAGGAACCGGAATTATTGAGAGTTGATGCTGAGAGAATACAGCGGCAGATGCAAGAGGTGGCGGTGGTCAATTACCGTGCTTTCATTGCGGCGGCGGATGCGGTTGCTCAAGATCCGAGAGGAGGTTACTTCGATTGATAAACATCTCGAGTCCCTGGTATTTTCCTCTGAATAATTTTAGTGAATAATTTTAGTTGTTTTTTTCTTTTATTAATATCTGTTTGAATATTGTTGAGCTGGCATTGTCGTTGAAGTGATGTTCTCCACTTGCTAATTTGGTATCACGACACTATGAACTTCTTTATTGACGATTTGAAAGCGAAGTGATACGAAGCTATGTTCTTCACTTGCTAATTAGGCACATAACATGCATGGCTTTGCCATAATTCATTGCTGATCAAGTGATGCTATTGTGTTGTGTATGAATTCAATTCAATCTATTGAGCTAGGTCTAAGTTAAAGGAGAAAACTGGAAGTGTGTGTACTTTTATCAGAAATTCTATGGTGCCCATATGGGCACCATATGATGCCATAATTTCATGATCCAACGCCTAATATCCATTGTGGAATTGATAGAATGGATATTAGGCGTTGGATCGTGAGATTTATGGCACTCTATGGTGCCCATATGGGCACCATAGAATTTCTGGTACTTTTATGCCTTTTAAGGCCTAAGGATAATCTTCCATTGCTTACTATGATTAAATGAGACATCTTTAAAGTGCTTGGAGGATGCATTTCATGGGTCTTGTTTTCTTTTGATTCTTTCCTTGTAAATTGAAAAACTTTGAGTAGGAAGGAGGTCGGGTAATTGTATGTTGTTCGTTGTATGGCTGGTATTGGTGACTTCTACAGTGTTATCAATGACAGATGGAGGAAAATGGCGGCAAGGACATGTGAATACTGGTCTAAATTTTCTGCTATTTTCCTTCGTCTAGCTCAAGTTCATGATATAAAGAAAACTTAAACTCATGGGTATTCACATGTGTTTGTCCTCTTCTGCAGATAGCTGAAATTCCTAAACTAACATCTGGTTGCACTGAATTTGTTGATTCTGCGGAACATATTTTGGAGAAGAGGAAGATGAACCAAACATTACTGGGAAATCATAGTACTTTGCTTGATTTGCTTGAAATTCCTCAACTCATGGACACGTATAAACATAAGCTTATTTGCTGATACATTCATGTTGCTTGTTGACCATAGTTTTCTTGAATCTCGAGGAATGATTTAAAATTACGTTGATGCAGATGTGTAAGAAATGGAAATTATGATGAAGCTCTTGATTTAGAGGCATTTGTAGCGAAACTTACTACGATGCACCCAAAGTGAGTTCCTTGTGTTAGCAACACGGTTAGTTCCACCACTCCAGTTGACGATTTTGTCTTTTCATCTTAAAATAGAATTCCAGTTATTCAAGCTCTAGCTGCAGAAGTTCGGCAGACTACTCAGTCTCTTCTCTCTCAGCTTCTCCAAAAGCTTAAATCTAACATTCAGGTATAATCCTCTTTAGAATTAGACATAGCGGTCCCTCATGTGGGTTACAACCAGAATTGTGCATGCAGTTGCCGGAGTGCCTCCGCATCATTGGGTATTTACGTCGAATAGGAGTTTTCAATGAATATGAAATGCGTCTGCAGGTACCATGGGCATTTTTTTTTTTTATGGTCCTGACTTTTCTCGAGTATTCTTTTTCGCTAACTTTTCATAGCCCTGATCTATAGATCTCATTAGATTTTTAAGATAGAGTTATAATCAAGGATCTATTTTCTGGTGGTCAGTTTTTAAGATGCCGTGAAGCCTGGCTTACTGGAATACGTGATGATCTAGACCAGAGAAACCCTTATGAATATTTGAAAGGGATGGTAAATTGTCAGAGAATGCATCTTTTTGATGTTGTTAACCAGTGCCGAGCCATATTCGTTGACGACACTTCAGGAAGTGAAGAAAATTATGATGGTGGCCTTCTCTTTGACTGGGCCATGCATCAGATTACCTTGCACCTGAAGACCCTCAAAATCATGCTTCCTAAGATAAGTGAAGGTGGATCGTTGTCAAATATCATAGATCAAAGCATGGTGAGAATATATTCTGTGTTATGAATTCCCCCCTGAATTGTAGCATTATCTCAGTATAGGATTGTTTGTTTGTGATTCTAATTGCTGTTTTCACAAATAATGTTGACAATGTGGTACCAATTTTCCCTGCTTGTGGTGTACAGTATTGTGCTATGGGCCTTGGCTGGGTTGGGTTGGATTTTCGAGGACTACTTCCCCCACTTTTTGAAGAGTAAACACAAATTTCAATCATATTTTGGTAAATTACATACTTTTCATTTAATGATTTCTCATGTGGAAATATTCTTTATTGTCTGACAGAGCAGCCCTTAATTTGTTTTCTAAAAATATGAGGACGGTCATCAAATTTTTAAGGTATGATTTCCTAAAAGTAATAGTTATCAACTGTTTTCTACTATGGTCTTTCCACAAGAACAAATATCCTTTGGAAAAGAGATTTGACAGATGTTACATTTTATCCAGTTAGTCCTGAATTCTCACCGTTAGGTCCCGTTGCCAGCAGTTGGCTTCCCCACCAGTAGTTTGAATGAACAAAGTCATGATGATATCACACCTCCTTTGAATCTAATGGAGCATCCTCCGCTTGCTGTTTTTATCAACGGTAAAATTATTGGTCAATATTTATAACTACAGCGAATTTAAATTTATTTACAAAATTGTTATCGTTGCTGTTATCATCAGGTGTATCTGCAGCAATGAATGAACTACGCCCTTGTGCTCCATTAAGCCTGAAAAACGTGCTTGCCCAGGAATTAGTTAAAGGTTTGCAGGCAGTTTCCGATTCTCTACTGAGATACAATACAACTAGGATGCTCAGAGATAACGAGTCTGTTCTTTTCATTAAACTGTGCCAAGCTTTTGTTGAGGTGAAGTTCTTAGCATTTATTTTTCTCAAGCTTTTAGTTGCAAAGTTGTAAATTAGTTCCCTCGAACAGCGATTTAACACCTTGTACTTCCTGTGCAGGTGGCTTTCCCTCATTGTGCAATGTGTTTTGGCCGTCGTTACCCAGGTGGATTGGCTGTCGTCTCAGATGCGAAATACTTGTTTGATGGACTTAATCGACTATTAGCATCCTCACCAAGGGAGCTACCAAAACCTACTCATAAAGCTGAGGCTAATACTAATACTAATACGAATACCGATTCTAACACTAAAACAAATATACCAGAAAATGGTTATTTGCCCACTGTGGACAATGGCGTAGCAAATGGCATTCAACGTACCTCAAGCGACAACCTAACAGAAAACGAAAAGAATTACAACAGTCCACTGAAGGATAAGGCTGATACAAATGAAGATGTAAGGATCACCAGTAACATGAAACATATCACATTTACCTGCTCCGTGTTTTTTTTTTCACTGTAATTATAGAGGCATACATGACTTTTCTTTTAGTGAGTCGTTGGATACTTGGACCTGCAGAGATTTTCCTCTAAACGCAAAAGATGATATTGCTGTAGAACCCCAGTGTAGTATTCTGTTTGTACTTAGGATTTTGGACACTGTTGGCAAAATGAGGTGTTGAATAATACTCTTTTTGTACTGTGAGTATAAGAATCTTATTCCATGTCCAGCTACAGATGTTCTTCTCGTGTGTAAGAATTTTACAGTACAGGCAGTAGTATTATTCAATTAATAATTAGTACTGTAATATCTGGGGATTTATTTTGTTTTATTTTATTTTTCTTATACCACTACATATACTGTGCTGTTGTGTACAAAATATAACAAATATTTATATGTAAAATTTCCTTTCTGGAAGCGGTCGGATGACGTGGCATTAGGTGGGCCCCAACACTCATGGGCCAAGACTGCATTCAGACAAAGGAGAGGACCAAAAATTACAACAGTTGGGCCTGGCCGTTACCCAATTAAACGCAGCCCAATTCAGAATCGGTGGATGAATACTGTAAATTACTGGAAGAAGACTAAATAAAGGAATCTCAATCCAAACTCCAGACCAGTGACATTGTATGCAGCAGTGGCATTCCAAATCCACAGACAAACAAATAGCCTGAGTGTGAGGGGAGAAGGTGGAGCTGGATTGAGGTTGGAAGGGAAATGCATGAGTTTGCAGCTTGGAACAGATTTATTTATGTGGTCCTGGATATGTTACAATTGCAGCTTTGGCTATGCACCTGAGTGTGAGTTTCTTCTGTAAGGCCTTGTGCTGGTATCATATCACATCTACTTGCTCCTCCTTTTTTTGTCTTCTCTTCTTGATACAGGACTTTTGATAGATGTAATTTAGAAGATCACGATATTAATAGAGAGGCATGAATGACTTTTCTTTTATTTCTTATTTCTAGTCAGTTGTTGGATAGATGGACCTGCACAAATTTTCTTCAAGATGATATTGCTGTAGAAACCCGGTATAGTATTCTTTTCTACTTTGTTGGCAAAATGAGGTGTTGAATAATACTCTTATTCTACTGTCTCTGAGTTTAAGAATCTTATTCCATGTCCACCCACTGAGCCACACATGTTCTTCTCGTGTGTTTTACTTAACACTACAGACATTATTAAGTATTATTCAATTAATCATCTTATTATCTAGGGATTTACTTTTGTTTTTTATTATATTTCTTATACCACTATATAAATATAACACACCAGATGTTGTGAACAAATATAACAAATCATCATGGAGATTTATATGTAAAAAAATTTCTGGAAGCTGTCGTGTGGTGGCATTAGAACACTCCCTCTAGGTGGTTAATGGGCCAAGGTTGCATTCAGCCAACAGATCGGACCAAAAGTACACGATTAATTGATCTAAAGTTGGTTCTGACCATCACCAGCCCAATTCTACCCTGCCCAATCCGGAAACGAAACGACATCGTCCTCAGTATCTGGATTTGCCAGGGGCAATACTGTAAATCACAGGAAGAAGACAAAAGGGCTCCCAATCCAAAACCCCTAATAACACACCAGATTATTTCTCCACACTCTCCTACAGATCTATCGCTCTTCTACACTCATTCTCCTCAACTCCGCGGCATAGATCCGAGGAGTTTCAGACAAAAATTCATCGCCGCAAACAATCGAGCTTCGACTCGATCTAACCATCAGCTTATTCTCCTTCAGATCTTGAGTTTTTATCAGGTAACTTGATCAAGACGCAGTTCTTCTGGAGTTTCTCTTGTGTAGGTGTGGTTCGCGTGTGTGTATGGTTGGAATTAGGTGAATCAGCTTGTTTATGGATTGTTTTGATGGTAGATGTAATGGGGTTTGTTCTTTTTACTTCCTCTATTGGACTTCAATCGATTTGAGTCTTCCAGTTGGAAGTTGAGATCCTTTTGTTTATTGCGTTATTCTGGTTGATGTTTTCGGGTACGTGGATTAATTATTTTTCTGAGTTTCTCGTTTTTGCAACAAAATCTTTGTTAATAATTGCTGGGATTTTGCTTTCGAAAATCCCAAGTTTATTGTACTTGCGAGTTGCGAAGCGGACTGATAAATGCTTAAACCTGGGCTTTTGAAGTTATATCTTTTTGTGTATTGGTATGTATATGGCATTTTTCTTTCGAAATCAACAATATCATTGTACTTGCAAGGTGGACCGAATAGATGAGCTTAAAGCTGGTCCCTTAAGGTTAAAATCTTTGCGTATTTGTATGTATATGGCTCTACGACATGATATACTTTTAGTACTTCACTGCTTTCTGAGCTCAAAAGTGATGTCGGATTAGATGTTTGTCGAATGAGCTCTGTTAGGATTTTCTTTTATTTGGTTAATTTTGTGCTTGAGTTGTTTATTTTATGCCAGTTAATATCAGCCATTAGCTGCTCTGTGCATGCTTGTAGTCAGAATGGCTAAAGTTTTTAGCTTTAACTAATAAAAAAGCTGTTTTAGTAGTTTAATATGGACATTGTGTATTGTGTCAATTATTTGTTTGGTATTTATGTTAGCTGCGACTGTCCAGGAGTGGTTATGTATGATGTACTGGCTTTAATTTCTCTTGCTATTATTTTATGACCAGTGACATTCATGTGTAATGGTTCTGTTTTTGTGGATGATCGATTTCACACTTTTTTATTGTCATTTTCATAGTCATAATTTGCTTCCTCCACCCCTGTTTTTGTAGTTTTGCAAACATGGCTGGAACAGCGCCCGAAGGTTCTCAATTTGATGCTCGCCAATTTGATTCGAAAATGAATGAACTGTAAGTCCCTATTGTTTGTACTTTACCTATTTATTTTCTGCAAATTTGGTAGCAGCGCTTAAGAAGCGGTGTGTTACCATTGGTTCTCACTATCAACTTTCTTTAATAAATTTATATCTATGGTCAGCCTTGGAGCTGATGGAGAGGAGTTTTTCACAAGCTATGATGAGGTGTATGACAGTTTTGACGCTATGGGCCTGCAGGAAAATCTTCTGAGGGGAATCTATGCTTATGGTATATCATGACCAATCAACTTTAAAAAAAAAAAATCCTACTTTGTATTGCTGCATGTTTTTGACATGCTGTGTTAAATAATTTCGATTCTCGATTCAATTTTCACTTCCTACTAAAGATGGAAATAATTACTCATATCTCACATTTTTTGAAGGTTTCGAGAAGCCCTCGGCAATTCAGCAACGAGGGATCGTCCCATTCTGCAAGGGCCTGGATGTGATTCAACAAGCTCAATCTGGAACTGGAAAGACAGCAACTTTTTGCTCGGGTATCCTTCAACAGCTGGACTACAATGTGGTGGAGTGCCAGGCTCTGGTCCTTGCACCCACCCGCGAGCTTGCCCAGCAAATCGAGAAGGTGATGCGGGCCCTTGGTGATTATCTCGGGGTAAAAGTTCATGCTTGCGTTGGGGGCACTAGCGTCCGTGAGGACCAGCGCATACTATCCAGTGGGGTCCACGTAGTGGTCGGAACTCCAGGGCGTGTCTTTGACATGCTTAGGAGGCAGTCCCTGCGCCCTGATTACATCAAGATGTTTGTTCTTGATGAAGCTGATGAGATGCTCTCCAGAGGATTCAAGGATCAGGTTTTCCCTTTTTAACTTTGTTTTTTATTCCTATCCCTCTCTGATTTCTTTATTTTGTGCATTTGTGTGGCGTATTGTTAAAATAATGGTGTTCGTTGTGTCCATCGTGATCTCTGTCAATACGAAAACTATTAGGCTTTGCTTGTNTTTATTTCATACTAAAAATCTAACTCAACTTTAACTCAACCCCACTATCCTCATTATTATCAATATAATTAAATACTATCATTCAATCATTCTTACACATCACATCAACTTTAATTCACTATTCATCCACTCACATAATTTTAGCTACCTATCATTTCCAATCATTTATCTCTTACTTTTATATTACATCAATTTTTATCATTTTATTTTAAATATTATCTAATTAATACATTCTTAAAATCCCACTAACTAACCATACTAACATTTTTCAAATAAACTATAGTTAACACTTAAAAAACCAGAAAAAAAAAACCATTTTTTTTTTTTTTAATAAACAACCACGACCTTATTAATTTTCAAAGTAATAATTATGGGACAGACCCAGCTATCTATGGAAAAGCTAAACTGTTATTGGGATTATACACACATTTTCTTTAACTGTTATTTAGTATAAGGTTGATGATACCATTAGTAATTAATGCAGACCTCAATATTTCCGATATTTATTATTATTTTTTTAATTAGATTAAATTGCGCAAAGCGTAACTTGAATATCCCAGACAGAAGGTTTGAAGTTTCAGTACATATGTTGTATTTCGAAAAAGCCAAAGAAAGCAACAATTAGAAAACTTAGAGGATGTAGCGAGTTTTGATATATATTCTTCACTCACTACACAAAGGGTATAGCAATCACTCTAACGATTACTCTCATTTATCCCATAATAACTCTGCCTAACGCTCCATTTTCTCTCAGATATACGACATCTTCCAGCTCCTTCCCCCAAAAATCCAGGTTGGCGTTTTCTCCGCCACCATGCCCCCCGAAGCTCTCGAAATCACCCGCAAGTTCATGAACAAGCCCGTTCGCATCCTCGTCAAGCGTGACGAGCTCACCCTCGAGGGCATCAAACAATTCTATGTGAACGTCGAGAAAGAAGAGTGGAAGCTGGAGACCCTATGCGACCTTTACGAGACTCTCGCCATCACTCAAAGCGTGATCTTCGTCAACACCCGCCGAAAGGTGGACTGGCTCACCGACAAGATGCGCTCGCGTGACCACACAGTCTCAGCCACTCACGGTGACATGGACCAGAACACCCGTGACATCATCATGCGCGAGTTTCGATCAGGTTCTTCGAGGGTCCTCATCACCACTGATCTTTTGGCTCGTGGTATTGATGTTCAGCAGGTCTCGCTTGTGATAAACTACGATCTCCCGACTCAGCCTGAGAACTACCTGCACAGAATTGGGCGTAGCGGGAGGTTCGGGAGGAAGGGTGTGGCGATTAATTTCGTGACTAAGGAAGATGATCGCATGCTTTTTGACATTCAGAAGTTTTATAATGTCGTGGTTGAGGAGCTCCCGGCTAATGTGGCAGATTTGCTTTGAGCGGAGTTTTCTTGTTCGTCTTTTTTTTTTTGCTCGAGTAATCTATTGTTATTGTTGCCGTTATCACTTATCATCTTGTTTTGGGTTTAGGTACTTTGGCTATAAACTGGTACTGCTTGCAGGACCTTACTTTTTATCTCTCAATTTAAAAAAATTGCTGTGGGGGGTTTTTGTTGGTGTATTGTAATTGCAATTTGGATGATGGTGTGCTATGGGAGTTTTTATGATGAGATGTTTTAATTTGTTCTATCATGTTTGTGCTTGGTGTAACTTCTATGGAATCTATTAGGTCGAATCTTCCTCAATTTTGAATAATTTTCACTGGTTGGATCAACACATATCCAACCATACCCGTGTGTTTATATGTGAGTATGTTTATTATTATATTATGAAAAATCCCATCACTCACAGACAATTTTTCATTTTTTCTGACCCAACGGTTAGGATGAAAAATGCAAAGAAAGTAAAACAAAAATTACACTTGTTCAATACCTAACACAACTAAATCAGAACTATGAACTATGCTCAATAGCTCTTTTCATAAATCAAACATGACGAAAATCAAACAGCACATGAAAACAACAATTCATCTCCCAAGACAAGTCTCAAGAAAAAGTGAAAATAACACCAGGTTTCAACTTGATGCAACAAAACACACACACACACACACATAAAAAGTTAAAAACTAGTTATGAATGGTCTCGGCTTGAAGGAGACCATCACGAATCTGGGACGCAACATCCTTGACAGCACCAGGCCCATGAGGGACAAAAACAGCGGATGACTTTGAAGATGCCCCAATCTCCTTCATCGTGTCGAAATATTGGGTCACCAAAACCATGTCCATCACATCCTTTGCTGTTGTCCCAGGCACATTCTCCGAGAATGCCAGCACGCTGTCACGAAGCCCATCCACAATCGCCTGCCTCTGTCGGGCTATGCCCAGGCCTGAAAGGTACTTGGACTCCGCTTCACCCTCTGCTTTCTTGATCTGAAGAATCTTTTCTGCCTCTGCCTTCTCGTTTGCAGCTACTCTCAACCTAGCAGCTTTTTTTTTTGTGCAGATCATGAAATGATTAGTTATAAGATTTTACAATAAAAAGACTCAATTTTTTACAAGTTTGTGAACAAATACAAATCATCTAGGCGGACGTTGCAAGTTTTTATATTTTTTGCATATTGCGCCTGTATTTGTTCATGTTACAAATGATTGTGCATGGAAAAATTTAAGGGAGCACAGATTATACCAGCATTTATCTCGTTCATGGCTCTCTTAACATGAACATCAGGTTCAATGTCCACAATGAGGGTCTGGACGATTTCAAATCCGTAGGCAGACATGGCCTACAAAACGTCAAAATGGCACAAAATCGGTTCAAAAAGATTGGCAAATAATGAATCTATTCTATTTAAAAATCATGTGTTATTATATGAATCTGTCACCTTCTCGAGCTCTTCCTCCACAGCTTTGGCTATTTCATTCTTCTGCTCGAAAACAGAATCCAACGGCACACTAGCTCTGATAACTGAGAGAAGTTAGGGGGAAAAAAAATCAATTTAGTATTGAACAGCACATAATCGATGACATTCAAATTAGCAGTAAAATACCATTTAACAATCAATAAAAATGTCAATATTGATTTCATTTCATCAGCAAAAAATGAAAAGGAAAGGGGAAAATAAAGCTTGGTAATGATGAAGGTTACCAATGAATGGAACTAATGAAATAAAACCACCAATCTCAGGATTCACGAACATACCACATTGGCCATAAAAGCAAAAATCACACAAGTAACTAACAGCACAAAATCATGCACTTAATTTTTATCCTTTAAATATTAAAAATTCTCTGATATAGTGATACCATCAAACACGTATGCCTGAATCTGTGCCCTCGTGTTAGAAAGCTTATAGAATGCATCAGAGGCATTTCCCGCCACAGCACGGTATTGGATGGAGGCAACCACAGTCACAAACACATTGTCCTAAATCAAGAAAGAATGACAAAAACCACTGTTTTAGTCAGTAATCTCACAGTCGACTCGAAAAGTATGCAGCATAACTAGAAATGAATTAGCCGCTAACACTCCTTAAGCATTACGGCATAAATTAACACGACCCGACTATTAACACACACATTAATGCGTTCAATAAACATAATTTAGCAAATAAAAATTTTCATTTGCACTCATCAATCGTTAAACAGTCTGATGTAAAAGAGAAAACACAGACTTCCGAATTTCTTGTTTCCATTTTGTTGGGAGGCAAGGAATCAAACCTTAGTTTTGGTTTCACATCGAACATCAATTTGCTGCACACGAAGAGATAATTTACCGGCCAACTTGTATCCAAAACACCAGGGCAGGCAGTGACAACCGGGCTCGAGAACTTCAGTAAATTTACCAAACTGTTCCTTTACGGCAACAGTCGATTGGTCGACTTGAATACAACAGAGCGCTTGGCCCATTTTGTCAGGACCTACAAACAGAATAAGCTTAGGAAAATCTTAGCAGCCAAAACCAACTCATGCAAGAAAAACAGTCGAACATGTTTATGATCACGGTTTCTTAATGAGAACAGGAATCAGAAAACACCCACCAAAGAAATTGGGTTTCAGCTCACTACNNAAAAAAAGCTCACTACTTCAGTTACAGTAAAATTATCATATTTTTCTTGTAAACATTTCTCCAAATTTCTCAAAATTGGCCAACACCAAACGACATGAAACGGAAAAGAATAAACAACTACCGATCATTAGAACGCAAAACCATGGATTATGTAACCTTTAAGAAATACTAAACAATTCCGTAGGTAAAAACACAATTACACAAAAATAAAAAGAATCCACATAAGCAAATCGCACCAACAGTACCATAGATAGAACACAAGAAGAAATCGTGCAAACAAATTATAATACACGAACACAGCACAACACGTATATGCGCGTAAAAACCCAATCTTTTTTCAAGAAATAGATAAATTTCGTGAAAATAACCTTAGGGGGGAGGGTTTTCGCTGTTATAGTGATGGGAACGAAAGCTAGTAAGCTAGAGACGACAAATACTATGTTTCAAGTAATTGCGGATTCGTTTTGCTCTAATTCAGTTTAGGATTACGATTGCGATTATGTAGGTATGTCAGTTAAACCTCTTTTGTCATTATCTTAATCTGTTTTTAAGGTTCCAATTATTTAATGCCCCGACCTTTTCCATGAAACAGATCAATTTTTTTTTTTTTTTNCCAAATATAGCTTTTATATATATATATTTTTTTAATCTATTAAAGTTAATAAATTTACTCCACAAATACACAAAATTAGAATTTGCCTTCTTTAACTAAGAACCTTAAAATAACACCAAAAAAATCTTTATTTTTTAATTTAATAAAGAAGTCAACTGTTACGGAGCCAACAATCAATGAAACAACTCCACGTAGGCCTGTCCCACATTGCTCTTTTATTCTTCTTACGAAAACAAATATACTGACAAAAAAAAGTAGGCGGCGATAAAAAGAAAAACTCCAATTTTGAACTTCCATTGGAATTTGGAAGGCTTTCTGGAAAATTTAATCAAACGAATTTTTTTTTTTTCTAACGAGGTGTACCTTATGAACATTAGTTTTTCAATTTATATCACTTGTGTGCGAAACTATGTATATTTGATAAAAATATATAATTGCCTAATGATTAAGCCTACCTAACAGTAGATCAAAATTTCGGAAAACATGGAATTATCTTGCCCAAAAAACAAAACTACACATGGTTCATGGTCATCACCATATGCTAAGAGAGAGAGAGAGAGCACTGATTTGATGGGCTTTTCAAGGTTGCACGTGCACAGAGAGCAGATATTAGAACAAGTAGAGCCCATCAACAGGGCGCAAATAATAAACTCCATTAAAAAACGCCTGAGGTAAGTTTTTTTTGTTTTAAATGGGACATGTGTCCCATTTCTATTGGATAATAAATTTTATATGTCAAATTATGTAAATTAAATTATCATTCATATTTTATATTAAAAAATAAAAATAAAAATACCAAAATTTATAATTTTTCATTCTCTACAAATAGAGACCACATTTGATAAATTTTAGAATACAATTAATTTATCACTTTTCACAATTAATTTATTTTATTGGAAGATAAAGACGCAGATCCATAATAAGATGAACATGTTACTTAGTAAGATGAACATGTTATAGAATAAAATGAACAGGTTACATAGTAAGATGTTATAGAATAAGAACATGTTACATAGTAAGATAAACATGTTATATATTTACACAATAAGATGAACATATAAAATAAGATGAATATTTTACAAAATGAGATGAACATGTTACTTAATAAGATGAACATGTTATAAAATAAGATGAACATGTTAGTAAAATGAACATGTTATAGAATAAAATGAACATGTTACATAGTAAGATGAATATGTTACATAGTAAGATTGAACATGTTATAGAATAAGACGAACATGTTACATATTTACACAATAAGATGAAAATGTTATAAAATAAGATGAATATGATACAGAATGAGATGAACATGTTATAACATAAGATGAACATGTCCGTAACATGTTCTATCTTATTTGATAACATATTCATCTTATTATGTAACATGTTCATCCTATGTCAGTATAATAAACTGATTACGAAAAAAAAATCGATTATGTTAAAAAAAACCTATCAAATGTGGTCTCTATTTATAGACAATGAAAATTTATGAATATTGGTATATTTGTTTTTTTATTTTAATATAAATCATTAATAATATTTTAATATATCTAATATGTCTCATTTTCAATTAAAAAAAAAAAAAAAGTGGCATGTATACTATACTCTCTCATTTTTTTTATTTTTGGGAGTGATTAGGCGCGTGCATAATTGCCACTAGTGGTACTGATCAACAGGTTCTTCAAAGCCAACTTACAAAAGCTCTGACAAATCGAGACTTATTTTGACCTTTACAGAAAAAGAAAGGCATCACCATCACCAGCTGAAAACTCCCCATCAAACCAAAAAAAAATGGGGGGGCCATTTGGAATTGGGGTCACCTCAAGGATCTCACCCATAAAAAAAACAAATGGGTTTTGCGGCTAAAAACATCGAATGCCACAAGTGAAACAGTGAAAATACACATTACGAACAAATGTATCTCAAAAAAATGTTTTAACTTACATTCGAAATCTTGAGCAAATTACTAACTAACTGTTTTGTAAGAGCATTTTGAAGCAAATTCAAAGTGAGAATAGAAAGCATGAAAACGAAAACAAAAACAGTCCTCTGATTTATTTATTACCCCATTAGCAGTATAATCATGCTAAAGAAAGGAAATGAGTTCTGTCCCAATTCAAAATCACGGAGAATGAAAGAAGAAAAATCTAATACACAAAATCAACCAGATATGATGGCACCAGGTGTTATTTATCTGGTAAAGGATAAAAAAGCCTACC